GTGGCGTGCTCTTGCTAGCATTCATTAGCAATTATGTAAACATGGCGTGCTCTTGCTAGCGTTCATTAGCGTTACTATGTAAACGTGGCGTGCTCTTGCTATCATTCATTAGCGTTACTATGTAAACGTAGCGTGCTCTTGCTAGCATTCATTAAAGCAATTATATAAACGTGGCGTGCTCTTGCTAGCGTTCATTAGCGTTACTATGTAAACGTGGCGTGCTCTTGCTAGCATTCATTAAAGCAATTATGTAAACGTGGCGTGCTCTTGCTAGCATTCATTAAAGCAATTATGTAAACATTCCGAAACAAGCTCTCGCTAGAATCTACTAAGACTATTATGTGAAACACTGAAACAGAACTCACCGACGCAAGCTCTTGCTAGAATTCACTGGCGCAATTATACAAATATACCAAAATTAGCGCACGATAGAATTCACTATCAATTATCCAAACAGGTGAAAGTAATCTCTCGCTAGAATTCATTAAAAAAAAACATACAAAATCAGGTTCCTGCCACATAATTCATTAACGCAATTATACACACTTACAGAAAAACCCTCATTATAATTCACTCAAGCTCTCACTAGAAATCTCTAAGGTGATTATGTAATATTCGAAAGCAACGGCTTGCTAGCTTTCACTGTCATATTTACACAAACATACGAAAAAAAAAGCTCTCGCTAGAGTACACTAACGTATTAATGCAAATATATAAAAACAAGTTTCACTAACGCTATCATGTAAACACTACGAAAACATGCTCTTGCTTGATTTCACAAACGTGTTTGTAAACAAACAAATGTAAGTTTTTACACTAATGTACTAACGCTGTCATACAAACAAGCGAAATCTTGATCTCGCTAATTAATTAACGAATTTATATAAACCCAAAAAGGTGAGGACACGCTAGAATTCACTAATGCGGTTGTGAAAAATTAAAGAAAGCAAATTTACATTTCAATTCAATAAAGCAGCGATACAATTATACAGAAGCAAGCTATCAATAGAACTCACTAAAGCTCTCGATAGAAGTTCATAACATAATTGTGAAAGATACGAAAGTTGTGAAAAAAACCCATAAAAACAAACTTTCATTTGAACTCCTTAGCATTATTAGTTAAACATAGAAAAAGCATTCTTTCTACAGAATTCACTAATGCAATTACGCGAACATAGGAAAACAAGTGCTTACCAGAACGAAAGTAACACAATTATGTTAACATGCGGAAGTTCTTTGTAACAAGAATTCAGTAATACATACGGAAATAAGTTGTGGCTAGAAATGTAAATACGCGAAAGGCAACCTTACGCAGGAATCAAACAACTCAAATGTTAAACTATGCAAGTGATCAGGAGGCAGGAATTCCATAATTTAAATATTCGTTTTATGAAAGACAAATTCGTGCAGGAATTTATTAAGCAGTTACGTTTTTACGTAAAAAAAAAATCGCTAAAATAAATTCCTGCTAGAATGTAGTGGCGCAATAATGAACATGTAAGAAATAGAAGTTTATAATCGATTTCATTTGGAAAAATCACATAATTACGTAATAAAACAAATAATACAAGCATATGGTGGCGGGCGCAATGCTTTAGAGGGAATCACGTGACTGGAACTTAGCAATGCATCATTGTCAGCAGAAAATAGAATCACATTCTGGTTTTAATGATGTAATTATATGAATATATAGAAAGTAATTTCCAGGTTGAAATTAATAACTGAAAATGTGAATGTGTGTGAGAAAAAAGCTGTTCGTAAAATTGTGTAAAAATCCAAAATACGACAACATTAATTACAATTTAGTGACTCCATTTTGTAAATATAACAAAAGCAAACTCATCAGTACTAAAGCATGAAAACGGAATTTATTGACGTCATCAACTGTACAGCAAGCTCGTGCTGGTGTTTATTGAATCAACCACGTGAAATACTACCATTGAAATAATGAAACGACAATGTAATTAAAGGAAGGGCGAAAAGTTGGCTCAGACTAAGATTTAGTCTATATATGTTTGTTTGTTTAGCACAAAGCTACGCAATGGGCTATCTGTGCTGTGTCCACCACGGGTATCGAAACCCGGTTTCTAGTGTTATACGTCTACAGACTTACCGCTATACCATTGGGGGGGCTGAAATTTAGCAAAGCTATAACGATTTAAGAAAATGGCTAAAAGGCAAACTTTTGTTCCAAAACCTGATCAACCTAAAATTTTACATTTATTGTTCAATCTCGAATATTTTACTAATTCTCTACGATACGTTTAACAAAAATTAGTGCGACTGTTTACTTCCACCTCTAAAGTGTATGCGTCTTGATATGTTTAGTTTCAAGGGAAATATTTCTGTTTAAACACCGACACGTTAACCGCTGATTTGATGAGTTCAAATTTCTCACATGTTTTCGAAACTATTGTTTCTAATTCTTTTGCATTTTACGATATTATAAATTTTCTTTCCAACGAAGCATCCAAAAGAGATTCACATAACGCTTCACGAGGAAATAACGTTTCACGAAACAACCGGAGGACGAAAACGATATTTATATATATATATATATTCAAAAACATGAACTTTTATTTACCACCACCATATGTTTCAAAAACGTATACTTATCAAATATTAAGTGTAGAATACCAATTGTCAAACAAAAGGCTCAAATAGTTGGTTAGACGTTAGTACTACTACTACATAAATATAATACTAATAAATTGATTTGCAGCTTTTTTAATTATTCTATTTATCCTTGTTTTCATGCCCTTGAGATTATATATTTATATGTTTTTGCAGTTCCTATAATTATCAAAGATCGAAATCAAACATTAAACAATATCACCCTTTCATGTTAAGTTTATAAGGCTCTTTTCCAATTTTTTGTATTCTGATTCCAAGCAATTAGGTATTGAATACTTCATAATGTAGATTATAAACTTTGATGAAAATACTGATGCAAAATTGACCTTAAGCATAATATTTTTCTAAGAGAATTGTTCATCTTTGAAATAGTTTGCTTTATTTCTTTTAAAGTTTGTAAATCAAAATTGACTAAAGATGCGTTTTATAAGTTTAACTTAATTTTAGGATGGAAGAGGTAATATCTTCAGGTGGTTTATTCATGAACAAATAACCATCGCCACCTTATATATTTTTATGTTTATGTAATTTTATCTTGGCTACTTGAGACAGACCACGTTTTCCAGTAGTAATTAAGACTAATAAGATAGTAGCATGTGTTTCACGACATGCCAAGAACTTGCTAAATTTCTTTTTATTGTTTTCTGTAAAGGTTATATAACTCCAGATTTTTTGACAAATTAAGAAGAGATATTTAAATGTTTTAAACATCAATTCTTTCCCATGATATGCAGTGTGTAGAAAAAACAAACCAATATTTATTATTGTTAGAGATCAATTAAAATGTAAAAATTCAAACTTACTGTTAACAGTACTAGCTGAAACTTTACTTACTACTTAAGCCTAACGTCACTAAAAGAAATATTAGATTTTGAATAAGCCCAGTTTTTAGGTTTCACTAGAAACTCTTCTTCAATATGTTTGGTAGAGAACTTAAGCAGTTGAAGATGAATCATTTGGAGCTAATCATAAAGGTTCTTATCGGAAGAAAGAGTTTAAATACCAATAAATCAAATTGAATAAGAAAATTATTACATCATATCTATTCTTACAATCTCAAGCATAATGCCATAGCATGGTATTTGCTGTAATTAGACTCTTAATACTCACCACAACATTAACTCACAAGTTCAAAAAAAGTAAATATCTCAAAAGAATATTCACAAACGCCAAGTATAAACGCAGCATTAAGGCAGCTTATGACTTAATTATTTTAAGTTAATCTTAATGGTTTGAAATCCAGTATTTTAGAATAATTAAAAAAGTTAATTTTTTGCCGTTATAAATATGATTTTTGCTTAGTGGAAGAAAACTAAAGCAATATTCATAATACACAATATTTTCACACTCATGTCATGTTACATTAAAATCATTAGTAGTATATCTGTTATGATCTAGCATATGTAGTATCAAAATTAATTCATAGAGTAATGCAAATAATAAATGTTTTAAACCCAAAAGGTTTTATGACTGAAATTTTTATACTAAACAGAAATAATAATAAAAAAAAACATGTTCTCAAGGATATTCAAACTATATCGATAAATCATACCAATATTTTCACATCAGGGAAGACAATTAATGAGCATGTGATAAGCCACCAAGGTAGGTATGATGAGAAGGTATGACAAAAGACATGCAAGTATGAAGACCTCCCAGGGTGGGTATGATGAGCTTCCAAGATTTTTATGAAGTATGATGTATTTTTTGGAAAGTGTGAAATAAGCTTCTAAGACATGCATGCAAGTATGAGGACTTGCAAGATTAAGTATGCAGGCAGATAATATGGCTCCCATGGCAAGTATGACACGAGCTACTAAGCTTAGCAAGCAGGTATTTTATCTTCTAAGGGAAGGTAAGATGCAAGCATGCTAGTCTGAAAATATGAAAGGCAACAAATGTAGGTAAAGCAGTGAGGTATCCAAGCTACCAGAGTAGGTTTGATGTTCTATCATGATAGGTGCGATGGCTACCAAGGAATATATAATATGTAAGGTGTGAAAAGATGCAGATCTTACAGAGTAGCCATGATTTTATACTAATTGTGTATGGTGTACAACAAAGGTATGTAAACATGATGCTTTTTCGAGACAGTGCATCTAATGTGCTACTGGAGCTTGACGTACTCAAGGGTTTTTATATCTGATTTGTCCTAAAAGCATGATGTTACATCGAATATTTAGCAAAGTCCCATCGTTATGAAGGACAGCGAGTCTGCCCGGTGTTGGTAATACTCTATATTAATAAAGAACCCCTCACTCTTTAAGTCACGAATCTTGTGAAGTATTAAAAAAAGTGTGTTACCACAATGTATATTAAACATTACTTGTTTATACCGTAAAACAAGGAGATTTTGATGCACTCTGAAATTGAATATGAAACACTGTTTTCTTATGGCGTAAAGCAAGCGAGATTTGTTGTGTTGTTAAGCAATATAGAAAACAACGCCTTTTGATAATTAAAAAAGATAATTTTGCCGTGCTTTAATGTTGAATATGAAGCACTAATTTGTTATCGCGTGAAACAAGGGGTTTTACTGTGCTGTCATGTTAAATATCTAGCACGTTTTGTGTTATCGCGTGAAACAAGGGGTTTTACTCTGCTGTCATGTTAAATATTTAGCACGGTTTTTGTTATAGCGTGAAACAAGGGTTTTTTAGTGTGCTGTAATGTGGAATATCTAGCACTGTTTTGTTATAGCGTGAAACAAGGGTTTTTTACTGTGCTGTAATGTGGAATATCTAGCACTGTTTTGTTATAGCGTGAAACAAGGGTTTTTTACTGTGCTGTAATGTGGAATATCTAGCACTGTTTTGTTATAGCGTGAAACAAGGGTTTTTTACTGTGCTGTAATGTGGAATATATAGCACTGTTTTGTTATAGCGTGAAACAAGGGTTTTTTACTGTGCTGTAATGTGGAATATTTAGCGTGAAACAAGGGTTTTTATTGTGCTATCATATGGAATATCTAGCATTGCTTTTGTTCTAGTTTTTTTTTTACACAAGTCTAATTATAATGAATGTGAAGAAAATGCATCTGTTGTGAAGAGTGTGGTTTTATTTTATTAATATATTTAGGTCACACAATTTTGTGTAGAAAAAGTTTAATAAAGCCCGATAACTCTTAACGTTTTCAAATTTCAACCCTTTCCTATTATGAGTAAACATGATGGAAACAAAAGCGAGAGTGATGTTATTACCATGTATTTTAGGAAAAATCATCTTTATGCTTCTCAAGTAGTTCTTTTGTTAAAAAAAGGTTTTGTTTAGTTCGTTTAAAATTTGTAATTTACAAAAAAACTTTATTTTATTTTACAAAACCGGGGGTTTCTCGAGTTCTGTTATATTATACAGTACAAGGATATGTAGAGCTTCTGTTCAATTGATTTGAATATGTAAAACAATGTTGTTGTTATTGTTTTTAGTTGAGTAAAACATTTTTTTCTAAGTTATGTAAAATTATATACAAAAAGTGTTCTCTTCTTATGTCAAACAAGACTTTGACATTTAACAGTGCTTTTATATGATACAAAAGTAGTGCTCCTTACAAGCGGTTTTTGCTGACTTGCTATAATGTACATAGCAGAGTTTTTAGCTGTATATGAAGGGGAATTACAAGGTGTTGCTATGGCAGCTATATATGTATATCCATATAACAACACTATTGTACTCCATATAAGGAAGTCTTTATGCTTTGGTTTTATTCTAAATATATATCTGGTAAAAGGTTTCTCTGTGTGTAATATCGGGAACTATAGGTTGTGGTGCTATAATAGCTATATTAATTTTTCTAGTGTGCTTTTAAGGTTTCTAGTGTGCTTTTAACATACACATAACAATTGTAGTTTAGTGTTAACACATTGAAGTTAATGTGAAAATACTTCATAACCAAAGGTGACTTAATAGTCTTTAATAATCAAACATTTAGCTCGTCATTTTATTCTGTTCAATAGACGAGCTGTTGTGAGACATCCAACTGTGGAAACTCCATTTTTAGCAGCCAAATATTTTAGTTAGCATGCAACAAAAAATTAGAAAATGCTAATATGTACATACAGCTCAAATAAGCAAGGAGAAAAAGATATGCAGGGGAAGACAATGCTGAGACTACTCTCATATATATATAGTTTGGAACGACAACTCTATGCCTACAAACTATAAAAGACCCTGAACTTTTTTTTGAGATTTTATCAAAGTAAATTTCTTACTGTCTCAATAAACCAGGTAAACATATAACTGAAGTATCACAACTTTATAATATTGCTATGAGGTTCTAAGAAATGAAATCAAGTGTTTGTACAAAAATCTGAGTATTTTGTCTATGATTTATTTTAGGAATGTCAGGGAAACAAGATTCACCCGATGGCAGCGGTAGATGGCGCCACAGGCATTTTGACACATCAGAGAATGAAAATCTTCTAAAGCGTGAGAAAAGATCCTCATTTGAGTGACGTACTTCCTAGTCGTATATACCTGTCACAAGATGGTATCCAACATCAAGAGGCTTTTCGTGCGATTCTCATCCTAAAAAAGGAGGGAAAAGAAGAAGAGGGATTTAATGTTTATTGTAAACACAAAACAACTTGAACGTTTACTAAACAGACAAACAGAATCTTTATTTCAACCTCATAGAGAATATTCATTGTTACTTTACGTAATACTTAGATCGTTTAACAAGTGTTAAAAAGTGCTTGAGTAAAATTTCTATGTTTACTAAGACTACTTCACAAAATCTGTTAAGAAATGCTTCTCAAAAAATTAGTCGTTTACCAAGCAGAAAAATGTTATTTACAGCTTCGTATATTTGTAACAGTCACTGAATGAGAGGGCGCAATATGGTGTACGTGGGTTTCTGTTAATTAAATTACTTTAACTATGTATATTTCCACATTACAGCGTGTGTGTATACATATGTACCCACACACACGATACTCTCATAAAAACATACATTTTATTGCATATAAAGACGTAAAAGTATTAACTCTAAGACTGTATAAGTAAAAAAGTCATATTGTTAGCATTTTTTCTACTGACTATTGATGACCTTTTAGAAACACGTGTGATGTATAGAACTGGTGTCTTTTCCTTATTTCAGACTAAGTAAGTACTAGCGTAATCTTCTAAGCATAAAAGAAAATACTGTTGAACAATTAACCCATTATTTAAAATGTGTATTTTCAGAATGTAAATTGTTATAAGAACCATAGTAGATCTTTTCTCTAGTATTTTTGTGTAAAATTTTAGTAGCTACAGAACTTGTTGGAATACACGTTAATAGCAGCTAACACTAGTTTTCTCGCCATCGGATATGAAAAGCAAAAATGTTATATAACGATTCTGGTAAATACAAGAGCAAAGTTAGTGTGCAACCATCTGTGACAAAAAGGATTGTAAATATAACTACCAAAAAAAATTTAGCAAAGAAATCAAAGTTTTCTTTAAGCATACTGAAAATTTTGATTCGAAAAGTAATTTGTTGTAAGATATGGATTACGAGAAAAAAAAAGAGTAACCCCACTTAAAAGGAAAAAATATTACTTAAGTGAAAGCGTATATTGAAAGATATTGAAAAATAAAACAATTTTAGTAAGTATTTTTGAATAGTAATGATTTTTATTATATTTCATAAGGATTGGATCTGGCATTATTTCCTGCCTTTGTTTATCATGTTTCAAAGTATTTCGTTTAAGAGGGATCTTTTAATGTTAATTTGTTTGCTTGCTTCACTACAGCATATTATCTTTAAAAAACTGACGCAATGATTTCCTGTTCCTCTCGTCTCGTTTAAAGTTGTTTTTTTTCAGTAAAACTCCAGCTGATTATTTCATGTTAGTGTAAATTATAAAGTAATTTTCCACCCTGTAAATTATAAGTTTTACTTTAACAAAATATAAATGCAGGTACTAAATTTTGTAAAATTTAAAATGAAGTATGATTTATTAATGCCACTGGCTTTATACTAAAATATTATCAATCCGTTAATGAAAAAAAAAAAAACTGTACACGTACATAAATGTTATAATTTGAAATTTTAGGCTAAAATGTGAGATTGAAAAAGCGTTGAGTTAATGTTTTTTTTTTCAATTTTATCAGAAGGTTTCTAAAAATGAATATTCTATTTCCATCTCCTTATCACACAAAATAAAATAATTGAACAGACGCCTTTAACAATATGTATAAAAATGTTCAAAATAAGACTTAGTTAACCTTCCTTACCTTACATAACGGAAGCCTAGTTAACTTCCTTACCTTACATGAAGGAAGCCTAGTTAACTTCCTTAGCTTACATAACGGAAGCCTAGTTAACTTCATTACCTTATATAACGGAAGCCTAGTTAACTTCTTTACCTTATATAACGGAAACCTAGTTAACTTCCTTACCTTACATAACGGAAGCCTAGTTAACTTCCTTACCTTACATAAAGGAAGCCTAGTTAACTTCCTTAGCTTACATAACGGAAGCCTAGTTAACTTCATTACCTTATGTAACGGAAGCCTAGTTAACTTCTTTACCCTATATAACGGAAGCCTAGTTAACTTCCTTACCTTACATAACGGAAGCCTAGTTAACTTCCTTATCTTACATGAAGGAAGCCTAGATAACCTTCCTTAATTTACATAACGGAAGCTTAGTTAACTTCCTTACCTTACATAAAGGAAGCCTAGTTAACTTTCTTATACGTAGTATGAGTTTTCTTTAAACAGCTACACTTATGTTGTTACAGTCTAATGACTGGTCTGGTCATTTTTCCCCCCAAATCAGTAATTTCAGTAATGTAAATATATATATCTGATAATTTGTGTGTTTCCTCATTACAGAGTAAAGTGTGTCCTGAAAGCTCAAGCTACTAACCCGTTTTCAATTAGATTTTTTTCATTTGGTTCTTGCCGCTTGGTTAGTTTCCTATGTTGAAAGCACATACAGAAATCTTGAATTATTATTGATCACAAAGTGCTCTCTTTTGCTTGTTTCGGTTTTCTACATGTCATAGATATTGGTAAATGTAAATTTTATTATTAAATGGGCTAGTTGAATATACTATAGAAAACATAATATATAGATATACTTAACAAAATTGATACGTTTAGTAATGGGTCACGGTACAAGAATCTCCAAAAATTATGTCACAGATATGTTACAGTAGTGAGCTTTCGTTCTTAATTTGTCTAATTTAAGTAGTTTACCTTTAATAACAGGGTCATTGTACAATAACCATCGGTCTCCTAGCAGTTAAACTAATATATTCAATGAATCTAATTAAAATCGATTTAAAATTCAAGAGTGCTACTACATACTGTGTTATAGATATTCCATACCTTATGGACTACTATAAGCTATGTGTAAAAATATTGCATACCTTCTGGCACCATTCCATAAATTCATCAAAGGAAATCAGCCCATCTTTCTTTGAGTCTATTTGCTGTAAAAGAAAAAAAAATGAAGTAGGGAACCACACAGAAGTTAGGCAGGACATCGTAGAAAGGTCAAGTTGAAAGTGTTAGTAAAATACGAACATGGAAACAATACCACATAAAGGTTAGGCAAGACACAATAGAAAGGTTAAGTATAAAGTGCTTGAATAACAAATACATGGGAATAATACCACATATAAGTTAGGTATGAAACCATAGAAAGGTTAAGTATAAAGTTCTAGAACAATATAAACATGGAAACAATACCACATAAAAGTTAGGCAGGACACCATAGAAAGGTTAAGTATAAAGTTCTAGAACAATATAAACATGGAAACAATACCACATAAAAGTTAGGTAGGAAACCATAGAAAGGTTAAGTATAAAGTTCTAGAACAATATAAACATGGAAACAATGCCACATAAAAGTTAGGTAGAGCACCGTAGAATGGTTAATTATAAAGTATTAGATTAAGAACATGACACAAAAGTTAGGTAGGGCAGTGTGGAATATGAAATATAAAGACCTTAAGGACAAAAGAATGCGATAATACAAGTAAAGCCTGCTGAAGTTTTGAATAAATACGTGTAAGACCATAAGAACGTAAGAATAATGCAGCAAATGTCTCAAGGAAGGAAGTGTATGACGTTAAAGCATGAAAAACAGAAGCTAGAATTTTTTAAACAAATATGGTTTGGTTTGAAAACTGCAGAATACTTTACTTAACAAACTTAGGATTGAAGGGAGTTAGGAATGACATAACCGAAAGTTTAGGTAGGTCACTACAGAAAGTTTAACTTAATGAACCCAAAATTGTAAATGCTTTAGAATGACACTACCAAGGTTATAAAGACTTAAGAATGGCACTATAGAAGCTATATATCATGTGACATATGCAATATAAATATACAATACGTATCAATAGAAAATGTATATAAGTTTCAATGGATGTGTCTGTAATCATGGTTAGTTGCAAATTGGTATACAACGTATTTGTTGTTCTTGTGTACCCCTCGTTAATATTATATTGTAATAATATACATGTCGCCTGAGCTACTTTTGAAATATCTCTGAATCTCTAGCAGGGCTGGTGCTGTGAGAGTTCACATCTAACTTACCAATAAATTGATAAATTAGAAACAAAAAGCTAATAGAAAATCTTATTGGATAACTTGAATATTGGGTGAGATTTACGTATATTGTAAAATAGTTGATAATATTATATTATCTTTTCCATTTATCAATATATCATTTTCTAGTCACCAATAATGACAGTCTTATCTATATTCTTTTCTATCCATCAGTATATCCTTTCCCATTCACTAATAATGTTCTCAATTTCACAGACAAGAAATAAAAAAACAGCAACATAATTCCAATAATGTAGTGTTGAATATTACAGGTGGTGAAGACATTTTTTCTCGACCATACTTGTAGCGAAACATCACAGGAGACACCTGACATTTTGTATTTCTAGCATTCCCTTCATCGATTACGCATCAAAAACGAGCACAAGACCTCATAAGCCAAGATATATATATATACTAACATTAAAGACGCGTTCCACGTGCTCCCGAGCAGAATGCTCGTCCACAGCAGGGTCCGTGTAGTGTCCCAGCATGTCGTAGATGGCGCTGACGATGAGCAGCATCTCCTGCTTACTAATAAAGCCGTCGCCGTTGATATCATACAAACCAAAGATCCATTTGAGTTTATCCTTTATAGTCCCACGTGACAAGCGAGAGAGAAGACCGATGAATTGCTAGAGAAGAGGAATTACAAGATGTGAAAAATACTTAGAATGGTAAAAATCAAGTTTCACAAGAAGTTTGTTTGAACTTAAACACAAAGCTACACAATGGGCTCTGCCCACCACCGGTATCGAAACCTGGTTTCTAACGTTGTAAGTTCTCAAACATACCTCAGTGCCCCTGAGGGGGCAGTCACAAGAAGTAATTGATTTTAAAAATCTAGTTACAAGAAGTAATTAATTGAAACTATTTTATTATAATTATAGTAATCGTTACATATAAGGACCGTATCATTCTAAAGTATTCATATATGTAATTTAACAAGCTTTATTTTTCTTATTTTTCCAGAAATAATAATACCTAAATATCTATCCTTTTTAATTTACAAAAAAAAAGCGATAACATCTTGCAATCGTTAATTCAAGAAAAACAGTTTTTCCATTACGGCTTGTGTAGCAGAATTAAAGGACACATCCGAGTGAAGAGCCTCCACCCTTCCCACAACATGCAACCTTCTCTAGAAATTCTTCATTACGGCTTGTGTAGCAGAATTAAAGGACACATCCGAGTGAAGAGCCACCACCCTTCCCACAACATGCAATCTTCTCTAGAAATTCTTCATTACGGCTTGTGTAGCAGAATTAAAGGACACATCCGAGTGAAGAGCCTCCACCCTTCCCACAACATGCAACCTTCTCTAGAAATAATGGCTGGAGACGGCTTGAATGGGTAATGAAGAAAAACTTTAATACAACTAATTCTCTAGAAATGTTGATATCTCAAGCATGGATAGATAAGAGCCACGTGTACAGATCTAAAGCTGTGTAGATATCTTGCATCATATAAGTTACCAAATCTTAAGAGATGAACCCTCAATTTTGTTGTTTTAATACTTCGTGGAAATAAATTGATGTTGATCGCTTAACTCTATGGAAACGTGTTATAGAAACATCCATGCAATGTATTGCTTTATATTCTTAAAGAAACAACCTTTTATTCGAATTGTAATACTATGCATTGCAAATAGCAAAATTCGTTGAAATCCTTATATATATATATATATATAACTCGTTTCTTTCCACTCTACTTTTCATTCGTTAATGTTATACCTTAATCATTCATAGATGTCCATAGACTTAACAATGCACGTATTGTATTTCAATGTCTCTAGACTCGTCTATGTTCACTCGTTTCACTGTATGCTAGCACATAGCTCCTCTACATCTTAGTGTTTCCATGGAAACCAAGATCCAGAACAGTGCACTTTAGGTACTGGGAAATATTTGTATCTAACGAGAATTATGCGAAAGTACATCTATACATATATACAAGCACGCGTGTTCATTTTTCAACTATAAATGATGCTATGCTGTACAAACCTTACTAATACTGGATAACTTAATGGATAGCTTAACGTATGGTACTAAGTTGACCAAAGTTTTACGCCTGTTTAGCACCTAAAAATAACAACAACACAACGTATAAAACAAGGTTCCTTTATCTTACCTCACTCATTGAATGTACTTTCTACTTACTATAGTAGATAAACATAGTTCTCCAGTTAGTGATACTGATTAATTTATGGATAACCTTACTTAAGATGCTGGTTAGACAATCTCTTTTCATCTGGATAGTAGTATGGGGAATTTAATGGATAGCCTTACTTATAACGTTGCTTTTACAAACCATTTTCGTCTGGTCAGCGATAGTGGATAATTTAATGGCTAGTCCAAAATAACGATGATACGTTAGACAAACTTCTGTCTAGTATGTGTTACTGCTTAATTTAATACGTAGCTTTACTTACGATGCTGATCAAAAAACCGTTTTTTGTCTGATTAGTGATAGTAGCAAATTTAATGGATAACTTTAATAAGATGCTGGTCAGACAAACTTTTTTCTTCTGATTGGTAAAAGTAGTTTAGTTAAAATACATCTCAAAATAATGATGCAAAATTAGACAAACTGTTTGTCTAATCAGTGTTAATGCTTAACTTAATAGGTAGTTTTACTTAAGATGCTTGTTAAACAACCTTCTTTGTCTGGTTAGTGATGTTGGTTAATTCTATAGGTAGCTTTACTTAAGATGCTTGTTAAACAACCTTCTTTGTCTGGTTAGTGATGCTGGTTAATTCTATAGGTAGCTTTACTTAAGATGCTGGTTAAACAACCTTCTTTGTTTAGTTAGTGATGCTGGTTAATTCTATAGGTAGCTTTACTTAAGATGCTGGTTAAACAACCTTCTTTGTTTAGTTAGTGATACTGGTTAATTCTATAGGTAGCTTTACTTAAGATGCTGGTTAAGCAACCTTCTTTGTCTGGTTAGTAATGCTGGTTAATTCAATAGGTAGCTTTACTTAAGATGCTGGTTAAGCAACCTTCTTTGTCTGATTAGTAATGCTGGTTAATTCAATGGATAGCCTTACTTAAGATGCTGGTTTGTCTAATAAATGTCACTGTTTAATTTAATAGTTTGCTTTACTTATAACAGTGGTCAAACAAGCGTTTTTTTGTTTCGTTAGTTGTACTAATGAATTTAATGGACAGCTTTACTTAAGATACTGGTTAGATAAACCTTTTTATCTGGTTAGTGATACTGGTTAATTTAATGGATATCTTTTCTTAAGATATTGATTAGATAAACAATTTTCATCTATTCAGTGATAGTGGTTAATTTAATAAAATGCAACTTATAAAAAAGTGCCTTTATCGTGACTCATTCATTGAATTTATGTTCGACTTATTATAAATAAACTTAGTTATCCAGTTAACGATACCGTATAATTAAATGAATAGTCTTACTTAGATGCTGGTTAGATAAACCTTTTTATTCTAGTTAGTGATAGTGGTTCATTTAAAAGATAACTCAGAATAACGATACTAAATTAGACAAAATTCTTTGTCTATTAAGTGTTACTGTTCAATTTAACAGGTAGCTTTACTTGAGATGCTGGTTAAATAATATTTTCGCCTGGTTAGTGATACTTATGAATTTATTATTAACCTGACTTAAGATACTGGGTAAACAAACTTTTTTGTCTGGTTAGTGATACTTATGAATTTATTATTAACCTGACTTAAGATACTGGGTAAACAAACTTTTTGGTCTGGTTAGTGATACTTATGAATTTATTATTAACCTGACTTAAGATACTGGGTAAACAAACTTTTTGGTCTGGTTAGTGATACTTA